CCCCCCCCCCCCCCCCCCCCAAACTTCGGAAAGGCAGCTGGGAACTTTCACATCTTGTCTACATCACTGTTTTACTACTCCAGAGTGTTTCAACCAAAACACCACCTTAGGCTTAATGTCCAAAAAATGTCTCGTATCAACACATACATACGTTTATTTACTGTCATTTCCCATTAAGACAGTGTAGATATATTCGAGGTTATTTAGTGCACAAATTAACGAATTTGACACACTGTGAAAATCTGGGAGAAAAACATTTCCAGACCACAAGTCCTCATAAATTCAGAGAGTGAAGTCTTGGCTTATGCCAAAAACTGTAACCCCCATTAAGACAGTGTAGATATATTCGAGGTTATTTAGTGCACAAATTAACGAATTTGACACAGTGAAAATCTGGGAGAAAAACATTTCCAGACCACAAGTCCTCATAAATTCAGAGAGTGAAGTCTTGGCTTATGCCAAAAACTGTAACCTGAGTCCTACCTTTCTGCTCTGGCGGATTCAAATCAATATGATTTATGAAAAGGATTCATATTTAAAAAGCCATTCAATAAACATTCAGTGACACAACTGCTTACAGTATTAAATCCAGGATTTTTTTTTTTTTTAATTGATGAAAGATGCTTCATGCCAGTGAAAGCTATACTATAGAACAACTGTCTAGATCAAATTACATAAAACTTCATAGAAAGATAATGTGAATGAATTATTTCCAATACTTTCATTTAGACACTGTGACGTCTGCCAAAATCTAGTTATGCAGGTACAGTTCGATTTATATGCTAAGTTTTTAACAGTTACAAGAGAAAAGTCCAAGATCAGCGACTGATAGTATGCAAGTAAATCACTGCATCACCACAAAGTGAACATTGTGAACCAATCCATTGTGAACTTATAAATCATTGTGTCATTATAAATCACAGTACAATAGAAGATACCTTGTATATTCAGATAAAGCGACTGCATTTTTCCCCTTTGTTGTTCATTTCTTTGAACTATCTTGCTTCTTGTGGAGCTAGTGCAGATAGTAGACAAGATATGCCATTGAGGCAAGCGTCTGTTATTGTTCAGCCCTTAGAGAGCAGTTTCCACTGCATTCATGATAAGCATGAAGTCATAAACTGTTGCAAAAGCAAAAACCAGGCTGCACAGCATTAGTTCAAAGGGGTTACATCAAATTTTTCATCTAAGAAAACAACCTTGCATTACAAGAGTGCCGTTACGTTAGTAAATTCATTAATTGTGTTCAACTAGTTCATATCTCCACACCTGTTGTTTAACACAATGAATGTAAAATGGGGGGGGGGATGCCACAAACAGTTTATGCACATTAAAACATGGCGCATCAAGACTATATGAAATTATTAAGTAGCGATTTGTTTTTTCATTCAGTAACTAAGCCAGTATGCAATCTCTTTATTGCTAACATGTCAATGTCATGCTTACAAATACAGCTTTCTTTTACATGTCACAAACTCACCTTTTTATCTGACTCACCTGTCACTGACATCAGCTCGTCTAGATTGTTCTTCCAGAAAGGTCATTGTCCGTCACAGTATGACCTATTGCAATTAATGTTTTGTAGCATTGTAAACCTATATTTGTAGTATTTTTAGAAGAGATAAAAAACATTATTTACTTACAATTTCAGTTTCGATTAACAAGAAAGCACTCAGAACATGTACAATTTGCAATTTGCATATACATTTTCTACTGTATTTAATGTTTTTTTTAATATATATATAATTCTGTATAATGCCCTCTTCTTTCTTCCTTTATTATTTATTATGTTTCTATTTTGAGCTGTGGTATTGTTTATGTTTTCTTTTTCTCTCTCTATTGCTGTTAATTGTAATTATTGCGTTCTAATTTTGTTGTACCATAGTGTAAACTGAATGTTATATGAAATAAATAAAAAAAAGTTAAAGTTAAAATTTATGTTAGGTTTTATTCTGTTCATTTAAAGAAACAGCATGATTGAGCATACATAACACTGATACCTATGGAAGCCCGTTTCCGCCACTAAATAAAAAAATATAATAAACTAAGTACACTGATACCAGACACTAAAAATGTCAATCATTAATTTGGTGAAATCTGTCCATAGAAATAACCGATTTTTATTTATTAAAAAAAAAATTATATATATATATATTTTTTTTTATTAATTAATTTATTGTGAGTTCACTGGAGTTTGATTTCAGGACACCTGCACAGCGCCCTGCAACGTCCTCTTCATGTCATAACTCTTATTGAGCTATTATATTATATTATATGCAGTTTAAATGTCTGAGTGCACATCGAAAATCTGGGATGTAATAGAACATTTAATTATTTAAAATTGAAATTTAATAAAAAATGTTCAAAGACGTGTTATAAGGTCTATATTTAACAGTCTATACTCATCTTTAACATTAAATACGTGTCATAAGTCAGATGGGTTGCACAAACAGCTTGAGTGCATGTTGTCATTAAAGTAATACGCTGGAGAGAAAAAAAAGAAAGTAAATTTTTCCGTTTTATTCAGTCATTTTGACGAGAACATTTGTATGGAGAAAAAAAAATTGTGCAATTTTTAATGTTATCGTAGCTAGATGTTTACTGTAGTTCACTTCTGTGTCGCTGTGAATGTCTACATTAGTGAATGTCATAAATCACTTGTGCTTGTTGTGTGTTTTACAGTGGTGGAGAAGAAAGAAGGCAAAACCACAGTTGTAAGTAACACCTTCTCTCTCAAATGTACATTTTACAAAAGAAGGTGCAAATAATAAACGAAACTAATTTTCCAGTTGCAAGGACGATCCTTTCTCAAGCATCCAGGATAGAACAATAACTCCCCAGTAGTATCTGTCTTGTGTTAGTCACACTTCAACTTGATATTATTTACAATACTATAATTATGCTTCTTTTTGTCACTCTTTTATCAGATAGAGGGTGTTATTGAGCCTACATCTGAGCAACCACAGCCTCCCAACCCCACAGCTTCCTGTCCCATCTACAGATGGAACCTACAAAACAAGTACAACTACACCGTAAGTACTCCCATGTGATGATTCTGTGCACCATTATTTTTCTCTCATTATCTTTAAGACTTCTCTCTCTCTCTCTACTGCTGCAGGACGTGCTGTTACTCAGGCAGTTCATTCGCTCAGATGGTGGGATGCTTCCCCGGCGCATTACAGGCCTCTGTGCTCAGGAACATACCAAGATAGTAATTTGTGTACAGATGGCCCATCGTGCAGGTGAGTTGGAGCTTTCTAATGTTTATGTTGTATGAAAATGCTCAGTGTTGCTCCGCTTCAATAAAATCAATGTAATACAACATCTAAAACAGTTTAAACCACATTCTGTTAATTCTCTTTTTTTAGTATTAGCATTTTTAATCTCATATTAACTGAGAAACTATATGGAATATAGAACCATGTAAAATTAACTAGTTAAGGCAAAAAAAATAAAGGTCCAAACATACACACTTTGCCTTATATATAATTATATATATATTTTAACCTAAAATCCTAATGCAAAAAATACATGCATCAGCTACTCATCTGTTTCGGTGTCCTTATTAACAGTTACAATCATTTAACCAGTTCCTCATTTCTTTTTAGGACTCCTACCAGATCATAAACCCCCTTTACCTGAAGGCCATGTTCCAAAACCTAAACCCAACCCACCTCTCAACCGGTACGGTTACCTTAGAAAGATGTAATAACGTCACATATTTGATGAGTCATATTTTCATGTGCCATTTTTAGATTAGGTACATGCCATTAATCAGACAGTCTCTTATGGTCTGTTGCAGGTATCTGACACGTTACTCTGTGAAGTCTGTGAAGCCCATCTTCAAGACAGGGTTGAAGTGGTGTAAGAAGAGAATGACTGTAGGACATCCTGCCCTGAAAAACAACGTCAGATACAGCCCCAAACCACTGTACATAAAGCACTGATGGACACAGCTGCTAACCCAATCAAAAGAGTGACTTTCATGGGACTGAGAGGATCTATGACAAAGGATTTGTACCTGCCTCTGGCACAAAGAGACTGTTAATTGATAAACCATCAAAATGTAAATTCAGAGATCACTGTAATGTAACTCTAGAACTGTATGTCCAGCCCTCTGATTTGGCTTTCCACAGTGTGATTTGGAGAAATGTTAAATTATATTATTGCAAGGGCAGATTCGCAAATAAAGCGTTTCCCTCACTTGCAGCTGTTGCATGTGTTTGCGCCAGAGAAAAACCGAGGTAACCGTTTGTCACTGCCTTAAAGGTTGAAACACCAATGCAACTTCAACTTTCCAAACATGCTGACATGTTTATGTTTTCCTGAAATTAAATTAAAAAAAAATTACAGTGCAAGTAAATCACAGAGTTGATTACACATTCACGTTAGAGCGAGATTGAAGCTTTTGCGGTCTTTAAAATGTGGCACCAATACTAGAAACAGTCCTTTTGGCTGCTATAACATGAAGGGCAGGTCAAGGTTCATCAGTCCGTCTCCCATGTAGATGTATCCATGCTGAGGGGTCTGGGGAATGTGGAAGAAGGTGAGACCCAGCCAGAGCAAACTGCGTAATACACACATAGTGCTGCCCCGCTCAAGCTGGAGGCTCCATGACCCTGCATGAAGGACACACACACACACAGTAAGCAAAAATGACAAGAAAAAGACCAGAATTATCCTACTGTGCAAGATCAAAGGGGGAAAAAGGCAAAAAGCATTTTGCATAAACTGAACCTGAATTTTTGACCATTACACATAACCACTGACAGAGTCCAGACTGTGTGATAGTGTGACAGACGCAGAGTAAAATCTGGAGAAGAAAGTCGTGTGACAGGGAGTTGGCTCAGTTATAGATAACTATTATCACAGCAGTATATAAAGAAGAGGCGTTCTGGTGTCTTTCTGTCTGGGTGGCCCCTGCATCCAGCTGCCGGCATTGGCTTGCGCCCAATACTGCGAAGCCCGATGCCAGTGAAGTCTGTGTTTGAATTGCAGCACTGAACATTAACTGCTAACAATGTTCAACCTAAAACACTCAAAAGTCTACAATAATGTCCATTGTGTCTCTTTGCTTTATTATGACTTCAAATATTTATAGGCGGCAGTTCTATAGAGCGCTCACTAATTAGAAAAGCTTTTGAGGATAATATGTAGTAATTAGATTTTCTCGTCCAAAAGATGCGATATTAAATTAGCCTGGCATATCAAGACAAGTTACTTCCATCAACACTGAACGAAACCATTACCCTTCATTTCTTCCAGTGATATTTGGCTTAAAAGTCATACGGTTATACAATATTTTCAGCCTTTCCAAGTTCTTGGGAAATCTCCCCACTTTTTCCTTCTCCAGGCCACATTCAAGGAAACCTGAAATATCACCGCCTATTCCCAGTATCCGCTACCCACTATTTGAGGCGTCCAGATGAACCTGTTCACCTCTGGCACTTCTTGAGAGGGGATTGGGTTTTTTTCCACCTGATTGGTCAAGGGGAAAAGAAGAAACTGTTACGCAGGGTGGGTAAATGCCCTCTGTCTGAAACCTGCACTACTTTTTCAGTTTCTAGAGACAAAACAAATCAACTTAGCCTAGTATTGCCTGAGGTTAGGGGCCATCCCTTAGAAAGAGAAAGAAAGGACAGATCACCTCCTTTAATGAAACAGCTGAGATGTTTCTACCACACTTAAAGTCTGGGCATGTGTCCAGTAGGTTGACTGTGCCTTCAAACTCTACTGAGAAACTGAGGTTGCATTCAACAGGAGGTCACTCTTAATCTTGCAATGAGCGCTTTTATGCAAGAGTCATAAGCTATGTTTTCTGTAAATGTCAAGGCTCAAAGTGATGCTCTAGTGCTTCGCTCGGTATGTTAAACAAGTCAGATTCCATCTGGTTAAGATTCAGGATCAGCAGAACCAGATATTCCTTGAGGAACTCAATGTTAAATAATCAGTAGTGGTCTGTAGCCTCATGAAGTGTGCTTGATGACTACCTTTCAGCAAGCTTATGTCTGACTTGAATTTGTGTGGAACAACAACATACGAATACATTTCTGAGTAACTGTTTTGTTAGTTCACTCCCAACTGATAAACATGGCAGGAAGACACACGAGATATACGAGTGGGACATTTATAGTTGTTGTAGAAAATGGCATTCCCTCAAACGCTTCTTCCCAGAAAGCAAAGAGAACAACGGGATCATGGTTTGCAGAACAACACCCCAGATGTCTCCTTGGCTTTCGCTCGGCCTTAGGCAGCTGCCAAATCATATCTGTCTTTAACCCAGGGAAATCCAGCTACAGGGATCATGGGATGCCTTGCAGAAGGACTTTTACACCCTCCTCATATTTCCCACCACTATTAAAGCTTCCTAAATGCAATTTGCATGTCAGCATAATTTTTTGGAAAGTATGGTGGTGCTAACAGGTGTCGTTCACCTTTGAATTATTAAGTCTAAAGCAAAAGAGGGGTCCGATTCAATGCAAATGTTTCATTACAGGACTTGAGGGTGGGAGCTGGAGACTCCCACTGTACCTTCAGAAACAATATTGTGACTGGAAATAAAACCACATCACGAATAAATCATCACACAAAAAGGTAATGAAAGATCGTTCCTTTTAATTACCTTTGGGAATGTCCTCGCTCAAAGGATCTAGGAAGTCAATAGCAGGGTTTAGGTGAGACATTTCCAAGATGGACTTCTTTTTCAGGTTAACCGGCTCACGGAAGTGCAGATAGTTGCCCAGTTTCGCAGCCTCGATGGGATCTAGACCTGCAGTCAAGTGTAGGGTGAACATACATCCTCTTTTTTTCCCAGACATGTCCTGGCTAGGATTTCTAAATTGCCAAAACTGTTTGTATCTATTGTACATAATCGAACAATCGTGGCAAGCAAGAAGGTGGGATGTACAGAGAATGCTCAAAGCAATGCAATTGCTCATACATATAATGTATGAAGACTAGAGAGAGCACATCAATAGAGAAACAAAGACAAAACCTGGACATTTTTGGCAATTTAGAAATCCCGGGCCAGGGAAAAAAAGAGGACATATGGTCACCCAAATCATGTGCAAAATTTAAACTGATCTAGGGTCTGACAATTCAGATAAATGACAACATAATCAGATGAACTAAAGACTGATTACAAGAAAGTGGCTTCAGATAACTGAAATGGATTCCATTTTACTAAGAAATGGAAACATACAGACTTTAGTTTTATACTCACACAGCTGCATCTGATAGCGGGTGGAAAGCATATACAAACACTTCTGAACGGCTAAGAGTCTGACAGTAAACATACCTCCAAAGCTTCGGTTTGTCTGCACTTTGCCGCTGGGGCTCTTGGTAAATGCACCACGTGGCACTACAGACGCATCTTTATCGATGTTTGACACGGCTGTTGCCAGTCTACTTGCCTCATTCACTTTCACCTGCAGAACCGGAGGCATGTTAACCGCTTCATAAACATTGAAGAAGCCGCCTGCCATCTACCACGTTTACTCCATTATAAACCATGAATAAACAGAAAACCGAATAAATAATAACAGTTGTTTTACAACCAAACATTACCACGTCCACATAAACACAACATTCATTTTGTGTGTGTCCAATTTTCCTTGAAATGTTTAGACTCTTTTGATTGCTAAAAAATTAAAGATTGGTCAACAAAGCAAGATCTGTGTTTTATAAAGACACAAACATCTCACAATCCTGAAATGCAGATATACCGCATTAGCCAAGGAAGATAGGCTTTTGTTCATTTTCTTCAATCTATTTTCCTATTTCCAGAAAGCTGCATGCTCGTTATAGCCCCATCTGTGTCGTGTAACCCAAGTGCCCCTCCTCTCACCGTGACCTCTTCCTCCGTGGCGTCGTCCCCCTCTCCCTTAATGCGCATCTCTGTGTGCTCGTACTCATGGGACGGGTCGCCTGTGAATCGCCCTTGTGCTGCTAATGCCACATCTGCAATCATGGTCTCAGTGGCTGGGGGTAACAGGTGCCAATCCATGCAGTTTAAACTGTTTAATGATAAAAAATTATAAAAATTACATTTCAGAAAGAACACAATTTATCACTCACTAACAAGATTAAACAGATATTGGTATTGAATATCCCTGTTTTTCCAAATAATACTGACACAATGGGTCTTGTAAAATAAAATAAATTAATAGGCCTACTATATATATATATATTACATAATATATGTGTGTGTGCTGTGTATATTTATTATGTATATATAAATACACACTCATACAATATATATTTTGAAAATATTTACATATATATTTATATAATTGATATTATATATAAATATATTTAATATAGGAAACCAAAATTGTTCTTATATATATATATATATAATTATATAAACCATTTTACTAATAAAATATGTTTCATTATACAATTTTTGAAACTTTCACTTGAATGGCCACCATAATTAGGTTACATTTTCAAAAGAAATGAGTAATTAAACCAATAAAAGGTTATTTTATTTTTGCAAAGTCAACTTATTATGTGAGACAAATTTAGCCATCGTTCACGATCACAAATGATCAAAAAAATGAGTAAACAAGCACTTATCTAAACAAGCTACATGATTTCATACCTGTACAAAGACTTTTTGTTTTTCATTTCATCATCTTCAACTCCTTGAGCAATAAAATAGTCGCACTGTATCCCCAAAATCTTTCCCCAAAATAAAACCCGGCTGAATTTGTAGTTTCTCTTCAGAATGACCAGTGAGGTTTGAAGAGCGGCTCTCTGCTCACTGCTCAGAGTCAAACCATTACCTGCGGCTAAATCCAACGAGTAATGCAAAGATTCAGAGTCCATCTCAACAGCATTTACTAACAAATCTATATCTACAAAAGAATAAATTTCGCTTGTTTATTGAACTGACGCTAGCAAGCTAATCAGCCTCCGAGTCTCCGGTTACCCTGTGGTTGCTAAGGTAAACAAAAGCCCTAGCATCCTGTTGCTATAGCAACTCACAAACACTCGGCTCACTACAGCTGAATAGTTAATTGCTCACATTAAAAATGTTTATGAAAAAAATATATTTAATTAATATTCTAAT